GCCAGAATTGAACACCATCCAGAGGACCTTCAGTGGCTCGAATGTCAACACCCCCGTCTGCAGCCGCGGCTCCCACACTGGGGGCTGGGGGGGACACAGCCATTGCGGCCCCCGGTGGGCGCCGAGCTCAGGGTGGCAGCAGCACTGAAAAACCGCAGAGGTGGTGGTGCTGCAGGGCACGAATCCGAGGGCAGCACGTGCCGCGAGCAGCCTCACCACCCTCTGAGTTGTTGGCAGGTTATCAGCACCCTCCGCTTAATTGCAGGCGGGTTCGTTCGGGGAGTGCTGAATGCTGCACAGTCCTCAGCTAAAACACCGCTCAACTATGGGGGTTAACAGCACCGTCCCGCAGCAGGACCGACTCTTTGAGGGCTGACGTCCCCACAGGTTTGGCCCAGTCACGCTTGCCCAGCCCTCCCTGGCCCAGGGTGCTTGGGGAGCTGGATGCGGCTGACGGGTGCCGTGGGGAAGGCGGTGTCAGATCTCATGTTGGACAGTGGCATCAATAAACAGAGCAATGATGGGATAAGTTGTGAGGACCCGTTAATGCCTTTACAGAACCAAAGTCTTTGCTGCAGGACTTTCCGTGTGTGTTAACCCCTCCTAAATTTGTAATTTACAGCCTCTTCCATGCTAGAAAGCATGTGGAGCTGCTGAGAGCCGCTGGCCGGTCACCGCCGCGGAGAGAAGCATTTCCGGGCTGCCAGATCAGGCTCCAGCCGAGGTTGCTGCGTTCCTACTGCCGGGGTGGTGCTGGAAACTCCCTGGGAGCAGTTTGGGGTTTCAGGTCACGGTGTGCAGTCTGACGTGGCTTAAACGTGCTGCAACAGGGCTGATGTCCCGGGAGGGAAGTGCCAGTGCGGGACAGGAGGGCCTGGCTGCAGCCCCCAGCCTGGCTGGCTGCCCCATGCCCCTCGGCAGCCTCCCTGCATTCCCCTCATCAGGAGTAAATGCAATTACGGGGAACAAAGAAATTAAAAGCAGAACTGACTTTGGTTCTCAGCAGCTCGTGTTCATCATGCTGGCAGTGCCACAGACCTGGCACCGTCCTTTTTCCTAAAAATGCATGGATTCAGCCTTTTTTCTTTTTGCGAAACAGCCACTTAGGTGCCCGTACTAGCGAAGGGGGCCTGGCTGCCCCTCCGCAGTGCTGGGACCTGCCTGGGGAGCCTTGGGGATGGGCAGCCCCCTCCTCGCCTCAGCGTGGTCAGACCGGCAGCACCCACGCTCTGCTCAGTGCTGCTGGGCCCCGTACCCCGACTGCTCTCCCGTGCTGCTCCTCACCGGCCGCGCACACACATAACAGCGTCGGTTGCTGGACGCTGCCAGGATTTAACAACATCCAGATGACCTTCAGTGGCTCGAATGTCAACAACCCCGTCTGCAGCCGCGGCT